ATCCACATCTCATACATGTGGCGCATAACTGAGGTGGACCGCTTCTGCCCGTTCGGCAAAAGAGCCTTCGCCCGCACCTCCGGCGGACAATTGGGTGAGCCTGGGATTGGTAAGTCAAGGGAACCTAAAGTAAAACGTTTGTACTACATAATCATAATATAGTAGGTACCTATGTTTATGAACGATTATTATTACTACTATTTTTATTATTGTTTTATTTGCTATGGTAAACTATGCTACCGGTTATTATCTTCACATATATACAGCCAAAGGACGCAAGCTGCGATAGTACCGCATGTAGGAGTTGTGGGCCTCTCGGGTTCTGCGATCCTCTTCGGACTCGTTCTGCCGGTCTGGCTTCACACCTGGCTCCTTCTTCACGGCTTTCAGGGGCTGCACGGCACCTGCTGGTGCACAGGTCTCCACTTTGACACCTGCTGGCACTGATTCCTTTGTCGAGGTCTCCTCGGCACCTGCTGGCACTGACTCCTTTGTCGAAGTCTCCACTGGCACACCTGCCGGCACTGACTCCTTTGTCGAGGTCTCGGCTGGCACACCTGCCGGCACTGACTCCTTCGTCGAGGTCTCCACGGCACCTGCTGGTACTGACTCCTTTGTCGTCTCCACGGCACCTGCTGGCTCTGACTCCTTTGTCGTCTCCACGCCACCTGCTGGTACTGACTCCTTTGTCGTCTCCACGGCACCTGTTGGTACTGACTCCTCCGTCGAGGTCTCCTCGGCACCTGCTGGCACTGACTCCTTTGTCGAAGTCTCCACTGGCACACCTGCCGGCACTGACTCCTTTGTCGAGGTCTCGGCTGGCACACCTGCCGGCACAGACTCCTTTGGGGTCTCCGCTGCCGGCTCGTTGTCGACCTGCATGTGCACAACTGTCCCGTCCGACCCTGGCTGGGTCTCCACTTCAGAGCGCAGCTTGCGGGTCATGTCCTCAATGTCGCAAGTGGCCGGCCTTCGCAGCATGGCTTGGATAAAGGCCGAGCGCTCTCCAGTCAGCTCTGCCGGCTGCTGCAAAAGTGCCGAAAGGAGGCATTGCAAAGCCTTGGCTCGCTGCTCAGCCTCACCTGCTCGCTGCTGGGCATTCTCGATCTCATCTTGCTCGTCCAGAAGTCGCTCCAGATGCGTCTCGAGGTCATCCTTGGCACTCCTGGTGTGAAAGTCCGGCTGGCCCTCAACCGACTTCGCAGGGGCCCCTTGGCCCTCAACCGACGCCTTTGCTTAAAGGGTCGAGCAGGTCGCTGTGACATGCACAGAAGCTCCGCCCGAAGCCTCTGCAGTCGCAGAAGTGCATCCTGCAGAGACTGAAGCACTGACCTTCGAAGCTGTCGGGGACGCGGTCGGCTTTTGTTCCACCTTTGGCTCCGGGGGTGGCAGGCTAACGGCTGGCTCAGGATCCACCTGTGTTTCCACTTCTGCTTCGGTGGCCTTGGCTGCCATCCGCCTTGGGTGCTGCCTTCAGCTTTCCCTCGGCAGGTGTTGCAGGGTCAACATGTTTGTAGGGACAATTGTTTCGACTGCGCGACCCATGCTTCTTGTACTGGAAACATTCCTTCTCGCCTTGTCCTGCTGAAGGACTTCTTGACGGTGCGCGTGAACGGTCTGGAGTAGTGCCACGTCCACGTTCTGGAGTCTTCTTCGAATGACTATATGGACACTTATCTCCATTCCTGCATTCGCCTGTCTCAGAAAAGAAGAACTTGCATCGTATATGCTTCATCTTGACCTTGGCATCGACTGACGCAGATCTATCCCTGTCCTTCCCTTTTCCTTTTCCTTTTCCTGCTTTGGCTTTGGCATGTGCTTTGGCCTTGCTTTGAGGAAGAACAGGTGTTTTCATTCTTCGGCGGCTTCGTAGGCTTCTTCGGAGCAGGTGTTGCTGCCTCCGATCCTTTTACCTTCGCAGCCATAGCCGACAATGAGTCTTTGCCTTGGATCATGAGTTGTAGTCCTGCTTGTGTCTGCTTCAGCATCTTTTGTTCACGTTATCTCTGAATACATCGGTCCATGAGATGTAGTAGGTTTTGGTAGGAACGCCTGGGATCATCATAGTTGAGCATGTCATAAGAGACGAGGAGCTCCCACTTGAGCGCAGGCGAGTCCTTGATCTTTGCATGGAGGGTGTCGCGTAGGGCGTTATCGGAAGGTACATCTTCCGGTCGCATCCTATCGATACATTCCAACCATGTTTGTTTGAATACACTCATGTGCTGATCGCCTTGATACTGCAACTTGATGAGGTACTCCAGCGTGACGATCATGTCCAATCGGTCTCTGGTTCTGAAGCTCTCATACATCATCGCGATGATTTGTCTCCCCTTTATCAACTTGCTTTCTTCTCTGACGTACTTACTCGACTTGCGCTTCACGTCCAGGTACAAGTCCAGAGCATTATCGCCTGCGGCTTTGAGCATGGCTGACATGGCGATACCCAGCTTGATGTCAATGCTTTTGAACTTGGTGTGACCTGAATCGTTCAATCCATCGATGTCTGGAGTGGGTCTGAATGCTGGATTCAACCAGGCTATCCATTCTTCGTGGTTTGGATCAGCGCAAGCTCCAAGGACATTGGCAATGCAATATGACATCCAGCTGTCAAGATGAGTGACTTTCGGGAATGGCGGCACGATGACCTTATCAGCTTCCCTTCTCGAAATCTTGACCTCCGTGACATCTGCAACACCTTCGTCTGTTGGTGCGTCTGAAGGCGGTCCCGGAGGGTCGCCCCCTTTTGGTCCACCACGATGCGACGGCGATTTCTTGGAGCCATCACCATCTCCAGGTCCATCTGTTCCACCACCGCCAGGTCCACTTGGGCCAAGATTGGTGGGCGACTCGGAAGGTGGTACTGCTTCTTCTTCCTCACCTTCTCCATAATCGTCATCATGATGGTTTTCCTGTTTGTAATATTCGGCTTCTTGTCTCCCATACTCGCGCTCATCACGTATTCTGTCCTCATTTTCTTTAGCACGGCGTAGTTCGGAACGAAGTTCGTCCATGTGATGTAAGCATTCAGCCTCAAGTTTCTCCCATCGTTCACGTTCTCGCGACTTCTCTTCGTCGGCACTCCTGACATCCTCTTCGACAAGGCGTGTTATCAATCTTTGGTTTTCGTTGTCGTCATTCTCTTTGAAGATGTTGGGCTGTGCTCGCGAAGACGAGGACGACGGCATAGACGGTCTCCACATTCCTTGATCCCTTAGTAGATCTTGGAGTTGAGTGCCATGTAACACGTTCGCCCTTTCTGACTGCTGAGCGTTTGTGTTACCTGCGCCATAACCTCCACTTGCAAGAAACGTCCTGAATTGAGATGGATATGCGTGTTCTCCGCAATCGAGGGTGCTGGTGTACCCAACGGAGTCACCCATGTACTCGTCGTTCACCACTTGTGGCACATTGCTCGGTCCGTCTAACGTCGCTTTACCCCTATTCATAGGACTGGGAACACTAGGAGAGTTGACTTCAGGGGATCGCACTTCACTACCTAAAGGAACTGAAACGCCTTTCCGACTACTTTGACTCTGTACATATGCCCATCCCGCATCAGAAGTCTTGGAAGACAACGGCATACTTGATGACTGTTGCGATGACACGTGTTGTTGTCGACGAGCCAGTTCGATTTCTTGTCTCCAGGCCTGCTGACTTCGTGCTTGGAACTCCTCTTGCTGTCGTAGTCGTCGGCGAAGTTCGCCAACTTCACTATGAAGAGCAGATAGATTCGTCCCGCCGTCACTGCCAGCTGTCATCTCCACTTGCTGCAACTTCGTCATGACCTCGGATTTCGCGCGTTCTTCACGATCCAGTGAGCTTCGAAGTTCCAGTGCGCCTGATTCCAAGAAAGACATCCTCTTGTTGGCGTCGACACGCATCATGTTCTCTTCGTTCTTCATCAACTCCAGCTGTTCTTTCATGATAGCCAACGTAGAAAAATTCTGCGAAGCTTCCATCTTGAACTGCAGAGTCTCGTGTGCCTTTTCATTGAGTTCTTCCACAAGTTTTCGGTACTCCATCGCCAGTTGTTGCCCTTCGCCTTGTGCCTGTTGCTCCATGTGAGAAAACGTCTGTGCAGCTTCACTCCGAAGTAGCATCAACTCTTGATGTAGAGATGTGGATATTTCTTCATCACGTCGATGTTGAGCGTCACTTGCGTCTTCAATCCTCTCGATACCACGATGATGATCATCAAGGGATTGTTGATGTACTCGATTCATGTGTCCCATCGCCTGGCCCATAAGTTCACGTTGACGTTCTAGTTCTTCGATCCTCATGGTTGATCCTTGGTCCTCCTGAGCCGTCTCGTTCATTCTGGCGAGCAAACCCATCGCGATCTCTTCGTAGTGAGAAATATCTTTTTGATGAGCGATCCTCATTTTCTCCTCCGCATATCTGAGCTGTTCAATGAGTCGATTGTTCGTCGATTGTTGATGACCAACCAGGTTCAACACTGGAAGACTCGGTGACAGTCGTCCTTGGTGAATCTGAATTTCTCTGTCCAGTGCGATGTCTGCCGCGTCGCCCTCTGAGAGGTTCGACTTTGCTGTATCCTTCGTCTGAGACGGAGGAGTTGGCTGAGCAGATCTTCTTGAAATAGATGATGGCGATGTCGACTTGTCCCGAATAGCTCTTCTCGCAGCATTCCTTGAGGAAGATCTGGACTTCGGTTGTTCTGGACTGCTAAGAGGTTCTCGGTCCTTCATCTTCTTGATAGTTGGACGGCTTTGCATAACTGACTTTGATGGTCGTCTCTCACCAGATTTGGTGCTTTGTCCGGTAGATGATGCTCTTGTCTGCGAACTTGTCTTTGGCAACGATGTAGCTCTTTGCTTTGACGATGACGCCGTCGATTGATTCGGCGGTTTCTTCTCCTCCTCAGTGCTTATGGAGTCAACAGATATAGCCTGTGCATCTTCGGCAGTAGACTCACCTGCTGCTGGCATTGCCGCTTCACCACCAAAGGTCATGGTTGTGTCTGCACTCGATCCTGATGTCATAATTG